AACTCCTTCCAAGTACAATTAACACACCTGCTCTACCAATTCTATAATACGGCAGACAAATAAGCAGACCGTAACCGCGTGATCGTTTGAAAAAGTGACTTCTATTTGAATAAAGTCCGACGGAAATAGAAATACAAATTGTGATGATGTTATATCATCATATGTGAACCTGTTGTCGCATCTGCATTAATCTCAAGCAATTATCTTCAGAAACTAGTAGCGATTAAACTTTTACTGAGAAACTCATTGAGAATCATTACATCTCTAAGATATTTTTTTTTGCTGGAGCGATAATTTATAATCAGTAATTTAGATCAGCCTTATCAGGATATTAAGCGTGCAACATGATGTCATGTATAATTGTCGTTAGAATCTTTAAGACATTTTTGTTTCTTTGGTAGCAGTTATTAAAATTTGCAAGCAGTTATTAAATCTCTCCTTATATAAAAAGCGATAATAATAGTTATTAAAACGACAAACATAGCAAATATATCACTACTATATTTACTTACCGTTAGCTAGAAATTCTATTGATATTTTTATCAATTATTATTTTTACTTTTAATTTGTACAAAATAAGTCAGTAGAAACGGAACATTTACATAATAAATGTGTACAGAAATTATCTCTCACACAAAAAAAACAAAACGTGTCTTCATAATTCTAACGTTGAGAATAATAATATAAAATTATATTACTGTATTATATATATATATATATAAACAATTATAAAGTAAATTCTATGTCATTACTGTGTAATTAAAATGTATCGATACAACCCCCCTCGACAGAGAAACTCTCCATGGTAACGGAAGTCGACTGCGAAACTTCAGCTTCGACATATCCCAACTCGATAGGTTTTAGCTATATTCTCGCTCACTAGCGTATAGATAACCTCGGTGAAAACTGTGTTTCCCGGATTTCTCGCAAACAATATTTGAGATGCTTAAATTTCAACACGCCACTCCGGAGGATGTCAAGATCGCCGCGTCTATAGAACATAAACGGCATCTTGAAGAAACGAGAAAAATACGTATTTTCAATCCTCGCGTTAGGAAAATTGGAGTAAGAATCAAATTCCGACTACGTCGTTTTTAACTCGATTAAATTTGTCTATTAAATTTTTATACCTTATTTCGATTTTTAAATCATTTTTCCCTTAAATTCTTCTTGTACTACTAAGCGTTTTATTATTTATAAATTTATACTATTACTTTTAATATACTTTATTCTCAATGAAATTTACATTTTGCTACATGTATTTGTTTCTTTTGTAATATTTAATTCGCAAATTTCGCAAGCGTTATTTAATCAAGTAGAGTGCATTAATCTAACATCTGGGAAATGTCCGCTTGAATGCGATACGATTTGCGCGATTGTTTCCCTGACATTTACAGATAGACAAGGCATTCTTGGATAAGCAAGTCGAGGAAAAGAAGCGGCAGCACGAGTGGGAACAGGCGAAAGAATGTCAATTGGACGAGGCTCTCATTCGCAACAGCGAGCTTGCTGTGCATTTAGAGAGACAGCAAGAGGAGGTAATCGAGTGTCATCAATGTCGATAATTACGCGGGAATGTTCGCTCGATGCAGCTGGTATTTGTGATTTCGGAGTTACGCGTCGCGTTGCGATAAAGAACACCGAGCCAGAAGAGCTAATGCTCTCTTGTTCGCAGGAAAGGCGTAGAATAAATAAGGAAATCGAGTCCTTTCGATGTGTGCATCAGCGCGCGAAGGACCGTCGAGATTACGACCTGTACGATCCCGAAGCGCTGAAGAAATCGCTTCCACCGCGACTGGATGACGATGATCCGAGCTTGGGTGCAGCGTCCGCTCAGAAGTGCATAAATAGTCTGATTAATACTGTCAACAATGAGTGGTGCAATCGAGAGAAAAGTCGCGGAGAAAATTATCTCAGATTTCCAAGAAGATAGAAGAATGTACACACTTGTAAAACTCGTTATTCTTTTCCCCGTATTTCAACATAGAGCTCCCGTCAATCTTTATTTATTAAGACTTTTAAAAATTAAAATGCTATCGCGCGGAGAAAAGCTATCGCGGGGAAAAATTATTGCAATCTCTAAAAAAAAAATTCACGACTATTACGTATAATACAATAGTATTTTTCTCTCCTTGGTCAGTCGAGTTCTCGGCAAGTTTTTGCAATGCGTTCATTGCGCACAGATCCTGGCGAGGATAATAATTTACCCCGCAGCCTGCTCACCCTGGCGCAATGATAATGAGCGTAACATTGCAAAGGAGAGGAGAGGCACAATGAAATATTACGGCTGCGCAGGTTCGAGGGCGAGGACCGCAATCTTCCCGAGCGATTAAAGGTACAGAAAGAACAGATACGTTGGTGGATTCAGAGGCAGAAGGAGGAGCGCGAGGCGGCTGAGAAGGCGCGACGGGATGCCGAGGAAGCCTATCAGGAAGTCGTCCTCTCCAGGGACAAGCGCGCAATGACGCTGGCGCGAATGGAGGAAGAATGCCGGCGAAGGTTGAACGAAGCGACAGCGAGATTTAATCGCGCTCTGGTATAGAACACTCTTCGTTTGTGCTTTTAAGTGATATACGAAGAATACCGAACACAAAAAAAAAAAAAAAAACGACGACTGCACTTATAACTTCTCTTTTGTGTAACAAATTTAAAAAATTAATTATACTTTGAAGAGTTCAAAGTAACTGGAGTCTGAACTGGTACACAGCTGCGTATGATGCTGTTGTTAAAAGCTATTTCACAGATCGTGTTCTGTAACGCTTGTGAAGAGACTCACTTCACTGTTTTTGCTTTGTTCCACCGTCTATTGATAAAAAATTAATTCCCCTCAGCTCCGATTTAAAATTGGCGAATAATGTGGATACTTAAAAAGAGTAATGCTTTTATCGGTTGCGCTAAAAGCGGTTCATGGAAAAAACATTGTGGAATGGTGCATTGACTTAGTTCAATTGACAATAAAAACATCTGTATTTGAACACGCGCCCATTTATATTGAATGAAGTGATCGATTTGAGCATTTTTACAATTGACAGGCTAATGTTGACACATTAGAGTGTATCCACTGTCCCTATCTGTTTGTCTTTCCACTTCTACATTCTCGGTTCCCAATATGTATCATGAGATTAGTCTCCTTCTTTGTTTTTGGTGTCGGATCTTGTGAAAAAAAATTACGATCTAGCTTGCACATAAATCGTTTGCAAGAAAATCTGAATTTGTTCGAGAAAACAATAAGAGAGAAAAAAAACATATAAAATAATATAAAAGTAAATCAAAAAATATTTTAAACAATTGAAAAATTTCATATATGTCATTCGAAAATTGCAAAATTGATACTAAAAGTGCAATTAAAATTAGTATTAATGTACGCTATTGTTCCGTTGTCTCAGATATTCTTTAGAGGTCGCTAACAACACAATTAACTTTTTTATCAGGAGAATAAAAGTGATTGAAAAGCGCTTAATTGCAGCCGACCGCAAATATAACATAACAAAAGGTACTGTGCGACTTTTTTACGCAGTTTGTGTGCATTTTAAACTTACCGCAGGATATAAAAGTCGCCTACGCGATTCTCTCGCGGTCGATGAATAAACCTCGTGACATCATCGTGCAAAGTGCCGCGATAATTTGCTCCGATAACCGCAACAAAATGCCGTCAATTTTTCCTTGCTTCCGCCGCTGTATTCAAACCGATATTAATCCCGTTTCCCGTGGCCCTGGCCCTCTTCCATCGCCGCCGAGTTCGCGGAATCGCGGAATTTATTTCCGCTCGATTGCAGGCCGAGGAACAACAGCATCGCCGTCACTGCGAAGCCATTCAAGACGAGGAGGACAAGAAAGCGGAAATTTATAATCACGTGACTGGAGACTTCCTCACTGAAGCTAGGGAGCAGGCTGAGAGTTGTCGCGGCCCGTACAAGCCGTTGGTATCACGATACAAGGGCATGACTGCGGACGAGTTAAAGGTCTTCAGGGATGCGCAGCTAGAGCAAATAGAAGAAATTCGAGTTAGTATTAGTAACAAAAAAAAAAGAATTAAGCTTTATTATATCGGTGGTGTTGTAAATACATAATAGAATTATAGATTGATAAACAAGTATAATGAAAAAGCACAGCTCTCGAATCATTGAAATATGAAAGAATTTTTTATTCAAGTTTCCGATTAATCTAGAATCACTTATTGCAATGGATGATTTTATTTCTGGCACGGATTATAATACGAGAATTCGCTGGAACGAGAATTTGCTAGAAATTATGTAAATTAGATATATAATCGCAACAATACATGCAAATGGTACCTGTAAACGAAGATAGGATGCGTCATATATAACGTCATAAATAGTGGGTTCATGATGACACGTATATTATTAGAGTAGAATTCAGGATAAGATCTATCTTTTCGGGTTAACGCAATATAGTTAAAATATTTGCTAGTGTTTGTAAATACTTCTACAACTATAAATTTTAAAATTACAAATAAAATGTTTTTAATCTTTTTCAGAAAAATAAACTGGAAGAGAAGAGCATGAATGAAGATTGGGATCAATTGATGAACTCGCATCTTCAAACTGCATATTCATACGAGTGCGAATTAAAGCAAAGAAAATTGTAAGATTCTATAACTATCGTTGACTATATAACGAAATCTGTTATTCTATTTCCAAATATTGACGAAGTAATATTTTAATATTTATTTAGTAATATTCATAAAATATTTTTAATATTACTCAGTGAAATATATTAATTAACTGTTGAAACAAATAAATTTTATATTTAAAAAATGTTTTAAATCAAATTGTATTCTTTTAGGGAGCTCAACAAGAAAATTGCGGAGGAAAACTTGCGGCTTGCCGAGCAGCAAAAATTACATAAAAAATATCTGGATCGTGTCGTTTATAAGAACCAACCGACCGCCGCTTTTTATGAGCAATTTAACAAAGGAACACGTTGAATGCAATCGCAATTTTTAGATGTATTTTTTAGAGATTTTCTATAAATTTAAAAAAATAATTTTATAAACTTGTAAGTCAAGAAATCAATACACATTTAAAACTTAGTTGTACCGATAAAATTGATACAAATTAAAGTCCAATTGTTTTTAATTAATTAGAATTCTTGAATTCAAATACGTGACATATTTAAGAGAACCCTAATTACTACTATAAATAATTAATGTGAATAAATAGGGAATAAATTCACACATTGTAATGAATTTATTCGAGAAGAAATAATGAGTGCCGTGATTATTGAACAATATTGAATTTGCGCTACAACAACGCGCATGTTGCTTTATCAATATTTATACTCTTCATAAAATTCACAAGGGAGTAAAATTTCGATTTTAGTAAGTGAATTCAGACTTGAAAAAAAATGGAAAATGCTGACGTGATTGATTATTAGTGATGGAGTTTATAAAAACGTATAAAAGAGGCATATTACTAACATAAGCATATCTTTCGCCTTATCAAAAACAATTTTGTTATTCAAACCTCATGTTTAATAAAAACGTTCTACGAAACTACCAATAAACAAATAATCGATCATTGGAGGTAATTGAATTTATGATTTTATGGTAATATATTTATTATACAAATTAATTCAAGTTTAGGTATATAAAATAGAAAGAAAATTTAAGCATTTGTTATTGGCATTTAAAAATGTAATAACTATACAAAAATGAGTTAAAGATTTTTGGAATTTTAAAACAATCTATTTCTCTTATTTCATATAAAACACTAAATAAATTTTTACTATACGAACAATTACAATATCATTAACATTAATTTAACTTTTTTAATAAAAAAATTTCCAATTAATGCATCTCAATATAATATTTATTTATTAAAACATCTTTTATTTACTATCTACATTGAGTTTACATTTTATAAAGTACAAACATTGTTTTTTTATCTAAATAAATTTTCATTAAGTTTTATGAATACTATTCGAACTCGTATTAAAAGCTTTGCATTCTAACACACACGAAAAATGGAGACATCTAATTCTACAGCCGGCAAAACTTCGTCGAATAACAATACCACGCGTGGTGAGAAAGTAAGTGCATTATAGCAAGTCATTTTATAAAATTAATTTTATCCCGAAATTAATTCGTTTGGTGAAAACATTGGAAGATAGTTTTTCATTTACATTATACTCGTGCACAAAAATAAACTATAATATTACAAATAGAGAACATGAACTTTAAGGTACATCTAAATATACACGCAAACCTTCCAAAAAAGTTGTTGTATATATAAACACGCAAACCTTACAAAAAAAGTTGTTAGTGTA